GAGTATGGACACCACCGGAATTAAAAACAAACTCGCTTAAGATCCCATGCCGCCATCAAATTAAAAAGGCACACTCGCTTAAGATCTCGCGCGTAGTAGGCTAGACCTATCATGCATTCATACAGAGAGACGAACTGCTTGATAATACTATCTCGCCATATTTTAGACAGAGGATGGTGCCAAAGCTAAAGGCATCTCTCCTACATTGCAACTGTGTTCATGTTCATGTACCCCAACGGTAAATGGCTAGAGTCGTATGCACTTGAGAACTGAGCTATGTGCACCTCAATGCAAGGTAAACAAGTAGAGAAAACAAGTGTAAACAAAAAGGAAAAGAGAGAAGGCATTTAGTTGTGGTTTGTTCCTCTAAACTTGCATGATTGCCACAGCTAAGCCCCCATAAACTTGAAAAACTAGGTGCTCACCTCCTAAATAAACTGCATTCTATTTTCAGCAAAACCTGGAGGATGTGTATGTTAGGCAAAACCTGCACCTTCTTACTCTCTAAAATAAACGCAAATAAAAAGTCTGCAGAGAGATCCATGCATCCAAGCTACAGCTTTTTTGTGGCAAGATTTCCTTAGCTATGACTAAGTTATATTATTACATACATAAACACTCATGATTGAAACTTCAACTATCACCGCATTCTCGTGAATGAAAATAAAAGGCACAAGGCCAATACTAAAGCACAACAAGTCACAATGGAATAAAAGAAATGCATCAGTCACCTTGCAGAAAATTGCTACTGCAGTGACCGCTTACTATACTAGTCTGCATGCTAGAAAATAGCAAGACTACCAAACGTCCCAACCAGTGTATGTCTGGACCGTTATAAGCATGCATATAGTTATTGTGCAATGCTAGAAAAAATCCATCACAAAGATGCCATCCTATTCTATTGCAATGGTGTTCTCGAACACGTAAACCAAATCACCAATGAACATTACAATCTCTACCGATTATTGAAGAATCATAATTCATGACATCTATTTTCACATCACAAACAAGAAACCATAGAATCACTCTGCTAATGAATAGTAAAGTAGTTCAACAGTTGAGTTCTTTAGGCTACATGAAGCAATTGGATCTCAAACAACCTTGGTACACCACGGTGGATCTTCCTATTAGTCGCTTTTGCCCAGATCTACAAGAAGGGGTGTGAGATGCGATGTAAGACTAACCTCAGAGGCAGAGGTTGTGTCGTGTTGTTTGGCGACGTCGGCGTTGCTCATGAATCGGCACAATGGCTAGCGAGAGGCGTCCGAGCTCACGGACTAGTAACTCCAAGATCAACCAGAAAGAGATGTGGATGAAACCCTAGCAGATCGAGAAGATTCTATGGGGAAGGAGATGTGGATGGAGGTGGACCGACCGCCGATAACGACGATGGTGGAGCGAAGTGGAGCCGGGTGCGCCACCAGGAAGTCACAAAGCGGCGGGCGGCGGAGGCGAGCTCACCGCTGGCGCGAGTGGAGGGCGGCAAAGACAAAGATACCAGAGCGACAACGACCGGATGTCAGGCAATGGCGGCCGGATGTCATGCGGCGGGGCGACCGGATGTCGTGGTGGCGGTGGCCTCGCGATCAAGCGACGTCATGAGCGGAGGAAGAAGCCACGTCACGACTCACGAGCGCACGGGAAACCCTCCCGCCTCCTCACTCTTGGATTATTTCCATGTGGAAAACGAAGGAAACGAGTGCGAACCTCGGGTTGGTGGGCTTTCAAAGAGCACTAAAATTTGCCCTGGGAGATTGGCCTAGGGAATTGCAGGATCCCTCCGGGATTTTGGGCTGCCAAAGTAGCCCTCGAGGCTATCATTTCCCTTACACGGTCCCACACAAAGATATCCCTTTCCACCACTTATTTCCCACTTGCCAAACGACGGGGAATTTTTTGTTAAGAGGATGGAGAAAAAGTCCACATTACCTCCTTCAATTTTCATGGAAGTCCATTTTTTCTCCCCGAACTGTAAAATCGGGCAAAACACCTCCCTCGACTTTTAAAACCGTTCATCTTACTTCTCTGTCCCTGTTATAAGCAGTTTTGAAGGCGGTTTTGTCTTTTTTTTTATTTATTTCGGCTAAATTTTTGAAAAATCATAGTAAATCACATAAAATCATAAAATGAAAAATCTAATTTTGTTGAACTCCACATAAGTAGATCTACACAGTGAACATATAATAAGGTATACTTTAGTACAAAGTTTTTGTTGTGTCTTTAGATTTATGTTTTTCTGTAATTAATTAAAATAATTCATAGCTGCAGTTTCTATGGTCTAATTGTGGTGAAATTTTTATGGTGGGCTAATTATTGTATGATTGAACTGTAGTAAAAATTTCATACTCATTGGATCAAGTATAGCGTAGTTATAGATTTATTTATATTTAACAAGCATAAACATAAATAAAATCTATTACTAAGTTAGACATGATCCAATGAGTATGAAATTTTTACTACAATTTAACCATACAATAATTAGCCCACCATAAAAAATTCATCACAATTGGACTATAGAAACTACAACTATGAATTATTCCATTTAATTACAGAAAAGCATAGATCTAAAGTTACAGTAAAAACTTTATACTAAAGCATACCATATTATATATTTACTGTGTAGATCTACTCATGTGGAGTCCAATAAAATTGGATTTTCCATTTTATGGTTTTTCTGTGATTTATTATGATTTTTCAAAGATTCAGCCGAAATAAATAAAAAAGAAAAAGACAAAACCGCCTTCAAAACCGCTTATAACCGGGCCAGGAAGGTACGGTGAACGGTTTTAAAAGTTGAGGGAGGTGTTTTGCCCGGTTTTAAAGTTCAGGGAAGAAAACGGACTTTTACGAATGTTGAGGGAGGTAATGTGGACTTTTTTTAAGGATAGGGATTGGGGAGTGGGAAGGCCAGATGGGCCATTGGGCCGCCCAGTTAGGTGTGGCCTGTGGGCTTCTTTGTGTTTGACGTGAATCAGAGCTTAAGGATAGCAAAGAATAGCAGCAATTTGAGACCTTAACTATATAATACATGTATATACCTCTACAAACTACTAAAGTTACCCAGGCACAACTGTGGGTCCGCCAATAGAGGGACGGCGAACTTATCCATTACTCTCTCTGTCCCAAAATAGAAGTCATTCTCGCTTTCTGATAAGTCAACTTTTTTTAACTTTGACAAATTATATATAGAAGAATATTAATATTTATAATATATAATTAGTATCGTTAGATAGATCGTTAAATGTACTTTCATAATAAACTTATTTGGAGATAAAAATATTGCACATATTTTTTATAAATCTAACTAAAGTTGATAAAGTTTGACTTGTACGCATCCCATAACGTCCTTCTTTTTGGGACGGAGGGAGTACATTCTTGGCACCCCTTATATTGATCTGTGTTCCCCACGAACTCTCATCTCAAAATGAAAATAAAATCAACCTCTCTAAACTTTTGTTAAGACCAGAGGTTTATACCCTTCACAGAAGGTTGACTAAGATAAATTCTTAAAAAGAACACCTTACAAGTTTGCTAAGTGTTAAACAGGTAATTAATTATATTACAGACACTTGAGATACGAAATGTTGTATTATTTGAAATGTTCAATGATTTGATGATAAAGGCAAACTTGATGATTTTTCATATTGCGTTAAAATGAATAGCCAAAGTGATGTATTGTTGTGGAGACAATCCAGTTCAAGCACAAGATAACAATGCAAATAGAATTGATGAAATGTGTGAGGGATCGCCGTGTTGATTAACCTAAATCAAGTGTCATCCACTTAACTGACCCGATTTAAACAAACCAACCTCGATAATCCTTGGGAGATGTTCATTCAAAAAAATCCCTAGGAGATGACATCATATCTCCACTACACCAAAGATATTGGATCAAAAGTAGAGTTACAATCCACGAACCAATCATCAAGACTCACGTAGCTTGACCACCATACAACAGTAAATAGTTTAATAAGATACATCATTATTGATATGAATAATAGATACAAAGAAATAAAGTGGAAGTTCATTAAAGGTAGGTTATCCCTGTTAACCTATTGGTCTAGTTTTTCTCTATTACTCTCAAACAACCGATCATCACAGTGACGACAGCTTGCAGAGGACGCTCATCTTGCAATGCGATAGTAGAAGGTTGGAGGAGTAAAAGTTGGGAAAAAAGAGTAGTACATTGTTTTTTGATCGATTGTGTGTTGGATTGTCTCAATCGGCTGTTATTCTCTAGTATATGTGGAGGGTGGTCTTATCTTAGTAGGAAATCTTTTTCAAATGAAATCTACAAGCTTCCCATGACATTAGATGAGTTCCCATCAAATTAGAATTGAATTGGACTGGGGGGAAACCGGTTTAGCCGAATTCTGAAACTGGCTTAGCCGGTTTGTGCGTGTGCAGGGTGAAAACTTCTTGAGGCCGTAATTCCTCATCCGAACTCTAAATTGGATGGTCTATTTATGTGTTTTCCTATCATCTCAACTAGAGGAATGCAACGGTGAAGTCCACTCTTCAATTTGGATGAGTTTTCAAAACCAGCTTAGCTGGTTTTCTGCTAGATCTGTTCCCCAAAATCAAAATTTTATTTTATTCGGAATCCAAATTGGATGATCCACGTATCTTTTTCAATTGCCTCAACAAGAGGAACGTAATAGTAGAGTCTGTTAGGCATTTTGACTAAGCGCCAAAACCAACTTAGCCAATCTGGAAACCAGCTAAACTTATTTCTGTTGGAAATTCTAGATCTAGCACTTTTCGCAATTTTGGTTATCAATCAACACCCACGTGTTGTAGTAAACTAAGAATACAACTCCACAAAATCGAGGATATCAAAGCAACAAATCCGGTCCCAGCTCCTAGCGTATATATTTCAACAATCCTTGCATCCAAGGGGAGGAAATGGAAATAAAGAAAGAAAAGCAATAACGATGATAGGTATAATTACGAGCAACAATATAGAACTACTCCACCATTTTCGACCCGGCAGTGAAAAGTCAAGCCCCAATCTTGTCAAGGCTCTCGGACACGGCCTTCATCCGTGGTCGGCGCTCTGGGTCTGCCTCAACGCACCCTAGCGCGACATGGAACGCCGCGACAACCTCCTTCCGTGCAGTGGCGTCCCTCAGGAAAGTGGCATCAGCCAACTCCGATAGCGGCCGCACGTCCTCGAACCCCTGCCGCACCCACCTCACGAGCTCCGGAGCTTGTTGCTCTAGCTCCCGCTGCCCATTGTGACCCAGCAGGGATGGCACCGACGAGGACGATACAGACGGTGAGGCATGCTCTGGCGACTTCCCCGTGAGCAACTCCAGTAGCAGGACGCCGAACGAGTACACGTCGGACTTCTGGCTCGGCGGTTGTGAGCCCCCCAGCGCGTGTGCCTCAGGGGCGCGATATGCACTGGACTTGTCCATTAGAGCGGTGGGCCTAGCATACGGTAGCGCGCCGCCCATGATGCCGCCGGACCCCGCCACGGAGTAAACGTCGGTGCAGCCGGCGATGGTGAGGAGGCGAGTGAGGCCGAAGTCGGCGACAAGCGCGTTGTAGTCGACATCCAGCAGGATGTTGGAGGGCTTGACCTCGCCATGGACAAACCGGCGTGGGCTGCACTCGTGAAGGTGCGCAAGCCCGCGCGCCGCACCCATGGCGATCCGCAGTCGTAGGGTCCATGATAGGGCTGGCTGCCCGGACCGGCCTGCACGAAAACATATGTCACAGTGGTTAGCTGATTACAACTCTCAGTTTTTTTTTCTAAAAAAGGAGATGCTAGCGTACTCTCTCCGTTCCAAATTATAAGATGTTTTGGCTTTTTAATACGTATCGTTTGCTATGTATTTAGATACATTATCTCTAGATACATAAAAAAATAATATATCTAGAAAAACCAAAATATATAATAATTTGAAACAAAGAAAGTATATCGGAAAATGGACCATGCTCGTATAAAAAAATTATTGGCTGTTACTTCTGGATTATAGATGTCTTTTTACTAGCCCAACAAACATGGCTTCAAACTTTTTTTTATAGAAATCGTGTGCATCATTGTTAAAGACTAACATTTATTTATATATAAAACAATGCTATAAGAATTTGTGAACAGAGTCGTATTTAACCCGATCCATACGTCCCGCATGGATCAAATGTCTGAAAACTTAGGCCGGAGTCATTGTTTTGGCAACTCGGCGCTAGAGTTGCAAGACGATTGCTGCCTGGCCATGATCTTACAATTTTCTACCTAATTATGAGGTCTACTAAGAGCAAGTATAATAAAATGGCATAGATATGATGAAATATAAGTTACCACATTAGAAACTTATTTGGATGAAAACCTCCTAGGCAGGGGCGGGGACAGGGGGTGCCTGGGCCCCCTATGAATGTGAAATCTTCACTAAATTTTTTGAAATTCAAATAAATTTAAAAAAATTAACACTGCTGCCCCTCCGGCTCCTAACATTTAAAAATTAACTTCCTGGTTCCGCCCCTGCTCCTAAGCAATTGATCTTGAGGCCTGTTCGCTTGAACTTATCAGCTAGAATCTACAGTATTTTTCTCTCACAACAAAACAGCTTCAGCCGGCTTTGGTTCCAAGCATCCAAAATCAAACGCCTAGGAGACACCATCCAATCAGCCACTAGATTTGTGCTGAGTTTGAAGCAGAGAGAGAAAAACCGGCTGCATACTTGTAGCTAGCTGACGCACAGATTTTAATTTGTGAGAGAGCGAGATGAGCTAGATATTGATGGTCTAGCAATATGGGTAAACTATTAATTAGTTGCAGGTGATATGATAACAATATAACTTGTTGCTGGCTTAGCTGTATTATTAATCATGTTCCATGCTCCTAAGTACTCGATCCAGCTGCAATTTGGCTGCCTGCCTGCCTCTGTTGCTGGACGCATACTTTTGTTCAGGCGTTATTTTTTGTTGTTCTGTACTTTGGCTGCCTGCCTGCCTCTGTTCCTGGACGCATACTTTTATACTAGTATCATGCATAGCCATGGGTTAGTGAGGCCATAGTTATTAACCAAGTCAACACAAGGGTCTCATCCAAGGCCTGTAAAGAGTAATTAGGAGCGTTCAAGAGGATTAGGTTAGAAGTTCTATTGCAATGCATTCTTCTATATATAGGACAAAAGAATCCTAGAATCCTAGAGGGTCAAATAGGGTTGTGAGAGAATCACAAAAAAAATAGGGGTTGTGAGAGTGGTAATCACTTACTCATTTGGAGCTGTGTTTATAATTTGTTTATCTATTGCCGTGGTTGCTTCAAAGTAGTCAAGAATTTTCTACGCGATTCGACTACATCGTTCTTGATACGATATAAGCTTATGTGCTCTCAATATCCTTTTAGAGATCAGATGATTGCTACACGTAACTAGAGAGATCAAATTCTAACAAGATTTCGAAGCCCCGAGCGGTCGCACTACCCCACAGGCCTAGGGACACCCCTGGTTGTCATCAATGCTATATTTTGTTGTATGTCCATCTTACCACCCTTCTCGATTTTTTCTGCCATATTTCCAATAATGGATGCTATATATAGAGCTCGGACCATGTGCTTCGTTCTTCCATATGTCATATTGCAGAGTTCATTTCAGCCTAAAGTTTCAGCCGTGTTCCAGAGATCTGCTCTAATGTCTAGAGGTGAGGTACTGGGCTACACTAAATAATTAAGAGGTCCCGCGAGTAGCTTAGTCTGAACCAGAAATTGAAGGTGTGTACACTTTGGTAGCGTTTGGTTTAGAGGCAGGATAAGGACTTCGTCCCAGTGTTTGGCTGGGAGACATATATTCAATCATCCAAAATCAGCGGAGCTACAATAAAAATATCTACCAGCCGAACACCCTGATAGATGGGCGGAGCCATCCTAGAGGGAATATTCTCTCATTATACGGGACGAGTTCCTAACCAAAAAAACGGAGTGACAAAGTGGGACGAGCAAGGACAAGTCGAGTGAAGCACGTGAGGAAGCCAGTCTCGGGGCTAGCCGGCCTCGGACACGGCGGCCGCGGGAGCGCACCATCCTCGGCTCCACGTGAGAACGAGCGCTCCGGCTTCGGATGTGGCAAGGCAGCCTCGGCGGCCTCATACGCAGCGTCCTCACCAACCTCAGATGCGCGCCGGCCGCGGGAGCAACGGCCGTGGGCTCGCCGGCCTTGGGAGCGACGGCCGTGGGCTCGCCGACCTTGGGCGCGGCAGCCGCGGGCTCGCCAGACTCAGGAGCGACGCCGTGGGCTCACCGGCCTCAGGGTCGCTGGCCTCAGGCGCGGCGGCCGCAAGCATCTTTTTTTATGTGAGGAAGAAACGTGAAGAGTGGACGACAGGTGGGCTCCACATGTCAGGCGGGTTATCCAGTTTTAA